GGATGTAGATTGCTCAACCTTCCTTCCAAGGAGTGGCTGCTGGGTTTGAACCTCCAGCCTTCTGGTTAGCAGTCAAGTGCCTTAGGCCCTATGCTACCAGAGCTCCCCATGTCACTTTAGTTTTGTGTATTTCACTGTACATAAATTATATTTCAATGAAATGCATTAAAAAAAAAGATTGCATGATAGAATTTTGCAAGAGCAACAACTTAATTGTGAAAGTACCTTTTGTAACAACATAAATGTTCCACTGTTGTTGTTGTTATTATTTTGCCATCGAGTCAGCTCCGACTCATAGCGACCGCTCCTTGGGTTTCTGAGGCAGTATCACTACGGAAGTAGGATTGCCCAACCTTCCTTCCGAGGAGTGGCTGGTGGATTTGAACCGCCAGCCTTCTGGTTAGCAGTCAAGTGCCTTAGGCATTATGCTACCAGAGCTCCTAATGTTCCACTACACAAGTGAAACTCAAGAGATGGGATACATCTGAGAATGGAGAAACACATTATCATCAATCAGAATAAGGTCAAGGGCCAACTGTGGAACAGACTATCAATTACACATATGAAAGATCAAGTTGAAGCTGAAGAACATTAAAATAAGTCTATGAGAGCTGAAGGACAACCTTGAGTATATGCTACCTGAATTCAGAGATCATCTCAGGAATGGATCTTATATATATATTGAACACCACTGATCAAAGACCAGATGAGTTGTATGTTATCAAGGACATTGTACATGGAGAAAGCAAAAGGTCATTAAAAAGACAGGAAAGAAAGTGAAAAACAAAACTGATATCAGAATAGACTCTGAAACTGCCTCTTGAACATATAGTAGCTAAAGCAAATAGAAGAAATGATGGAGTAAAACAGCTTAGAAGATTTCAAAAGACAGGTGCAGAAGGTAAAGTATCATAATAACATGTGCAAAAACTTGGAATCAAAAACCAAAAATAAATAAATAAATAAATAATAAAACAAACCAGGCTCAGCATTTCTTGAGCTGAAAGAGCTAAAGAAAAAATTCTTCAATATTTCAATATTGAATATTTTCAATATTGAAGGAGTGTTTCAGCAAAATACCAAACAATGCAGGAAGCATCAAAAGAAGATGAAAAGAATACACAGAGACACTATACCAAAAATAATTGGTCGACTTTCTATCATCTCAGGAGCAACCATATAATCAAGAACCAATGATGCTATTGAAGGAACAAGTCCAAGCTATACTGAAGGAAATGGCAAAAAAAAAACTAAGCTTCTATGAATTGACAGAATATCCATTGAGGTTTCAACCAACAGATGCAGTCCTGGAAGCTCTCACTCACTTATGCCAAGAAATTTGGAATACAGCTGCCTGGCCAACCGACAGGAAGAAATTGTTATGTGTGCCAATTTCAAAGCTGGGTGATCCAACATAATGTGAAAATTATCAAACAATATCATTAATATCACATGCAGGTAAAACATTGCTGAAGATAATTAAAAAAGTGGTTGCAGTAGTATATCAACAGGAAGCTTCCAGAAATTCAAGCTGTATTCAGAAAAGGATATGGAAAGGATAGTATAGATGATGTCAGATGGATCTTGGCTGAAAACAGAGAATACCAGAAAGATACTCATCTGTATTTTATTGACTATGCAAAAGTATTTGACTTTATGCACCACAACAAATTACAGATAACATTACAAAGAAAGGGAATTCCAGAACACTTAACTGGGCTCATGTGGAACTTGGACATAGATAAAGAAGCAGTCATACTAACAGAACATGGTGTCACTGTGTTGTCTAAAATCAGGAAAGGTGGGCCTCAAGGTTGTATCTTTTCTCCGTACTTATTCAATTTGTATGCTGAGCAAGTTATTCAAGAAGCTAGACTATATATATGAAGAATAACACTGTATTAGAATTGGTGGAAGATTCATTAACAGCCTGTGTTATGCAGATGACACAATCTTGCTTGATGAAAGTGAAGAGGATTTGAAGCACTTACTGACGAAGACAAATGACTACAGACTTCTTTATGGAGTACATCTCAACAGAATGAAAAAAAAAAAAATCCTCAACTGAGCCAATAAGCAACATCATGATAAATGGAGAAAGGACTGAAGTTGTCAAGGCTTTAATTTACTTGGATCCACAACTAATGCCCATAGAAGCAGCAGTCAAGATATCATATGATATATTTCATTAGATAATTTACTGCAAAAAACCTCTTTAAAGTGTTGAAAAGCAAAGATGTCACCTTGAAGATTAATGTGCACTTAATCCAAGACATAGTATTTTCAATTGCTTCATGTGCATATGAAAGGTGGACAATGGATAAGGAAAACTGAAAAAGAATTGATGCATTTGAATTATGGTGTTGATGAAGAATATTGAATACACCATGGACCACCAGAAGAGTGAACAAATCTGTCTTGAAAGAAGTACAAGAATACTCCTTCAAAGCAAGGTTAGTGAGACTTTGTTTCACATACTTTGAACATGTCAGGTGGAACTGGTACCTAGAGAAGGACATCTTGTCACTGAAAAGGAGAAAGAACCTCAACGAGATAGTGACACAGTGGCTGCAATAATGGTTCCAACACAGCAATGACTGTGATGATGATGTAGGAGGAGGCAGTGTTGTTCTGTTGTACGAAGGGTTGCGCTGAGTCAGAATGGGCTCAGTGGCACCAAACAACAACAAATACAGGATAGTTATCTCAGGAGGACACATGTAATAAGGTTGTTTAGATCTGACTAAATGATATTAATAACGCATCGTCTGTAACTCGCAGGTCATATTTTGTGATACTCCAGGCAGATAATGGAAAGGGCACCTGCTTTGGAGTCAGGAAGCCATCTACTCTCTCTATGGCCTCAGGGCTAAAAGTATTGACCTTGGTATTAGATGGCAGACATAAACTCCCTTTTTAACATATATATATATATATATATATATACACATATATTGCAAATATATGTTATTTTGCTGTTGTTAGTTGCTAATGAGTCATTTCTGACTCATGGTGACAGCGTATGTGCAGAGTAGAAATGCTCCAGAGTTTTCAAGTCTATGATATTTTGGAAGCTGATCTCCAGCCCTCTGTATACATTCATCTCTGGGTGGGTTCAAACTGCCAACATTTTGGGCAACAGTTGTGCGCTTACACATCTGCATCACTCTAATCCTATCTGGAAAACATCCTAACAATTTCCTTGGGAGAAAAATGAATGACCACAGTGAATTTTAGGGCCCCATAAGTTTATAAAGTAGTCAGCCTCTTGCTCTTGAGCAGGGTTTCTCAACTTCTAATGACATGTTGCTCCGGTAGCATAGTGGCTAAGACACTTGCCTGCTAACCAGACGGCAGGCGGTTCAAACCCACCAGCCACTCCTCGGAAGGAAGGTTGGGCAATCCTACTTCCGTAGTGATACTTCCTTGGAAACCCAAGGAGGGGTCGCTATGAGTCAGGTTTGACTCGACGGCACATAACAACAACAACAACAATTGACCTGTTGCAGTGGGGAGCTGTGGGGAGCTGTGGCGTGCACTGCACTTATTCACTAGATGGCAGTAAGAGGCCCCTGGGGTGACAATCAAAAAATGTTTCCAGACATTTGCAAATGATTCTAGGAGGAAAATTCACCTGTAGTTGAGAACCTGTCCTTTAGAAGGACAGAAACTAAGTGAGGATATACAGTATTATTTCATAAGTGTTCATTAATCAGCTGCAATGATTTATTCAGAGAAGAAAGTATTCAAAGCATTCAATACATAGAGGTTTGGAAATAAACAAGTACACGAAAATGAATGACAACTTTTAGGAGCCTTGATATAAGCCTTCAGTTAAAAATAGGCTAATGCAGACACAGTGCACTAAAGTTATGTTGAACAAGTAAATAAGGGTATTTGTAATTACTATGCATATTACAGGAGCTCTGGTAGCACAGTGCCTAAAGACACTTGACTGCTAACCAGAAGGCTGGCGGTTCAAACCCACCAGCCACTCCTCGGAAGGAAGATGGGGCAATCTACTTCCGTAGTGATACTGCCTTGGAAACCCAAGGAGGGGTCGCTATGAGTCAGGTTTGCCTCGACGGCACATAACAACAACAACAACATGCATATTACAGTGAATGTAATAAAGGCAGTATTTATCACACCAAGACTTTTCCATTGCACTCATTCTTAATTAGCGAGAGCGATTAAATATTTTAACATAGTCTATGACAAAATACTGGCTTTATGTTTACAAAATATTTTCTTAGCTTTTTATGTAGCTAAGTGAAAACTCAGGTCTTTTAGAGATCCTAATGCACTGCTATCAAGTCACATCCAACTCATAGTGACCCCTCCTTGAGTTTCGATATCACTATGGAAGTAGATTGCCTTATCTTCCTTCGCAGTAGTGGCTGGTGGGTTTGAATTGCCAGCCTTCTGGTTAGCAGTCAAATGCCTTAGGCACCGTACCACCAGAGCTCCCAACATAAATGGTTCTAATACCCTAAGTAATAGGGGTAATTTTAAATGAAGTAAAACTGCAATCAAACTCAGCTTTACATTTGTGAAGTCAACAAACTCAATGAACTTCACTGGCATAATTATACTAATGCTACTAAAAATTTAAAGGTTTTAAGTCAAATGGTAGTTATCATTTCCTTTCAAAATGTTTACTTTTTTGTCATGGATTCTTTCCTTGAGCAGGAATGAGAAAAATTATATTGTGCTGCACTCTCCCAAAATTACCACACACTGATATAAATTATTTTTGCCAGATACTATTTCATTTGTTGTTTACATCACTTGGGGTCTAGGGCTTATGAAAGTCTTGGGGCAATGAATGAAAAGAAAGAAAACAATCTATGGAAGCACAAATTGCACTTACATGCCTTACACAATAAAGTAGAGTTTGCAATTACTATAAGACATTTACAAGTGTTAAAGTCTATGAAATATAATTTAAAATGCATCGCCAAATGGAAGTATTATGCATTTATTGCTTAGAATCTTACCTTTGTCTTACTGTCAAAACAGGTGAATCCCAACGCGAAATCCACTGTGAAACACAGCATATCTCCTTGCCAGCTGCACATATATGTTTTGGACTAGAAAAAAAAAATTAATTTTAACAAAATATTCTTTAATATTTTGCCCCATACCCAATAAATATTTTCTGAAAAAGTCCTAATATGTGATTACATGCATTGAAAGTGGACCATCCAAGCCACATAAAACTTTCATCAATATTTTGCCTATAGCCAGTTATTGCTTTTTTTTTTTTTTTTGTCTTTGGGCACATAGTTCCACATTTGTTAAAGTAAGGCTATCTTTACTGGCATTACTCTAACTAAAGCCAAGAGAACACAATGGGTAGGTAGCCTAACAAGTATTTATTCTCCAAAGCATTTTTCAAACACATTCTATATTACTAATTTTTTTGTTTGTTAACTCAAAAAAGTATCTATTAAGCAATATGTTCATTTAAATTTTGCTCATATAACTCATCTCAGGATAAAATGTCAATGCCAATGTGGAGGCTAAGTGACAAGGGTGTTCCGATATAATCTGGACACAGCTTTCTCTTGGGAGACATTCTGAAGAGCAGTACAATTAAAGCACCATCGAAAATGACAAATAGTAGCAATGGTAACACCTAGAACACAAGAACAATGAAGTGTCTTGATGTTTGCTAAGTGATTGATAATTCCCAAATGTTTTCATTTATCTCTTGTTCTGCAATAATATTCTTTATCTATTAAATCAATAAATACTTTGAATATTATTTTAAATCTGTCCACAGGAGTGGATTACCCAATAAGTAAGGTAAGCAGGGGTTTATTTGTGCTTTTTACTAGTCTACTGTGAATGGTTTCACATTTTTTCATCACTTGTGCTTACTTACTAATCTGTACCAAACAGTTTCATCACATCAAAGAAAGCACATTAAATCCCATGCTAACCCTGCTTACTGGGTCTTCCATCCCTGTCAAGGATAATACATTTGAAAAGAGGCTATGATTCAGTAGGAAGGTTCCATGTGGTTGAGAGAGAGACAGATGGCACTCCATAATTGGAAGCGGAATCTTTGATGTGGTAGAAAAATGTGAAATTGCTCACTACAGATTTTGTAAGTAAGCTCGTGTTTACCTTGCTTATTGGATAATCTGACACTGTCAACAATTCCTAATGAGGTTGTTATCAACATATAATCTAGATTCTGCAATGCTAACGTTTTAGAAAAAGAAGGAAAGCAGTATGCAGAACCAATCTTCTGAATTCCTCAGAGAGTTCATACTTTGTATGATAGACAATACAGTGTTCCTTGTCAATATCATGCACATAGCAGGTGTTCACTAAATATGCTCTAAGCTATCAGTGTTTTAGGGATGAGAGTAGGGAAAATGGATTTCAACCAACTATTTGAAAAAAAGAAAAGAGTACTAGCTGGTTTAACTTGCTCATATTTGAGAGATTTTTTTTTTTTTAACATGCCCAGAGTAAGAGAAGTATTGTGATTAGCACAATTGGTAAAAAATTCTAATGTAAAACATATTTTAATGATATTTAAAAGTCTATGGGAATTAAGGTTTGCACAACTTAAGACTAATTTTCTAGAACGTAAGTTGTTGTTGTTGTTGTTGTTATGTGCCGTCGAGTCAAACCTGACTCATAGCGACCCCTCCTTGGGTTTCCGAGGCAGTATCACTACGGAAGTAGGATTGCCCAACCTTCCTTCCGAGGAGTGGCTGGTGGGTTTGAACTGCCAGCCGTCTGGTTAGCAGGCAAGTGTCTTAACCACTATGCTACCAGAGCTCCCAGAACGTAAGTAGAGTGATTATAAAATATGAAATACAAGTATTCCATGCATAATTGCCACATTTTATGTAGACTAAATACCTAGTATAATAAGATGTATAACAAAACAAAAAAAAACATTTCTGTAGAATCAATTCCAACTCATAGTAACTCTATAGGACAGACTAGAACTGCCTTAATAGGGTTTCCAAGTCTGTAAATCTTTACGGAGCAGACTGCCTCATCTTTATCCCATGTAGTGGATGGTGTGTTCAAACCACTGACCTTTTGGTTAGCAGCCAAATGCTTTAACTATTGTGCTACCACAGCAGTTCATAAGATGTATAGAAATTGTAAACATTAATTGCTGCCTCTGGATGGCAGTTCACAGATCTTATTTTTGAGTACTTATATCTGACATTTGGCCTTATATTTGAGGAATAAGAAAAAAAGTTTACGCAGAAAGGTTGTATACTGCATATTGTGCATTTGAATAATCTTTAAACGGAATTAGGACAGTGGGAAAAGAAAAGACTTCAGTTTAAGGTATCACAGGCTATATAAAATTCCATTTTCAGAGTTGAATCAATCAATAGCTTTTCAGACACATACAGGATCCAATTATTTATATTTTTAGAATTGAGATTTTTTTTAATCTCATCTTCCCCTTTACAGCTATACTTAATGTCACAAAATAATCATATTACAATACTTTATAAACACAGTTATTTCAATTTAGTGAACATATAAAATGAATTAATTATTTTCAAATTCTTCTTATACTTACTCCTTTCTTCCTCTTGCTACATTAAAAAAGACTCAAATTGACATACCCATCCTAATTCTTTGGGAAAGATTTGCTCTAAAGTGCCTCTCATCTATCAGAAGGTGTCTATGGAGTTCTTATTTATATATATAGGGTATTCTTTTTATTTTTTTAAGAAACCCTTGTAGATTATTTAGGAAATGTTTGTAACTTTAGTAATTTAAAAATTATTTGTATTTTTCCCAATGCTTCCTAAGCTTGTATTTCCCTTACATATAGGAGGGAATTTTCATGCAACTAATTTGGCAATTTTATTTTTTAACTGTCTAAGACATTGAAGCTACAAGAATAACTTACTGAAATAATAAAAATTAGTAATTACCAATTACAGTCATATGTAGAATACATAATGGCTTGACTGAAGATTTGTGAGACTGCTTGCCTTATCGACCTCTTTATCCTTAGCGCATCATACATTGACCCGCAGAAAAATGCTCACCTCTGATGGCATAATGGTGAAAGCATTTGGCTGCTAACTAAAGGTCAGAAATTTGAATCCACTAGCCTCTCACAGGAGAAAAATGAAGCAATCTGCTTCTGTGAAGATTTACAGCCTCGGAAACCCTATGAGGCAGTTCTACTCTGTTTTACAAGGTGGCTATGAACCAGAATCAACTTGATGGCAGTAGTTTTTTTTTTGTTTGGATGACCACAGCAGTAGGCACACAAGAAAACTTTATATTAATGAGTTCAGAAAAAATGTTATCAGATATTTTAAGTTTTTATATAAAGATATCAAAGAGGTCTTATCAGTAAAAGCTTAACAAAGCTACACGATGGCTGTGAAACTCAGCGTTTGGAACAAAATAAGAGCAATAGTAAAAAACAATTACTTTTAAGAAAACTGTCAAAAGCTCAGGTTTACCTGTGGAGTTAATAAAATAAATTAAAAACAAAATGAGGATAACAACAATAAAAATATACTTTCTTATCTATTTTCTGAAGAGGAAATACAAAGATGAGACAGTCCTGTCACTTAAGTTTAATGTTATACCTTGACGATATGACAGACAGAAACAATTCCTTTTGATTTGTTTGTTCTAGTAAGAAGAATACTCTTAAAATTATAAAAAATAAAACAATATAAAAATGGAATTGGAGTCTAATAAAAGTGAGAGAATAGTAAGTCTACATCTAGCTGTCTTAGTTCAAGTTTTCTTACTCACTGCTACTGAGTCGATTCTGACTCACAGCGACATCCACTGGGTTTCCAATATTGTAAATGGAAGCAGACTACCTCATCTTCCTTCTGAGGAGTAGCTGGTGGGTTCAAACCACTGCTCTTTTTATTATCAGCCAAATGCCTTAACCACTACACTACCAGAGCTCCTTAGTTCAAGTTTTAGGCCCCAGCTAAATTTTAACCCAGGCCTGGGTTAGAGATGTAATCTATGTATAAAATGGGGATGGCTCTCTATCCTGTCTACCTCTCAGGAATATTATAAGAATCGAATGTGCTCATCAGGCAAATGTTTTTTAGAGTAAAAATATGGATTAGCTCTTACCTTGTACCTCACATTGTGCCAGCAGATGGGGTTACAATAGTTAACTTGACAGATATGGTTCCTAGTCTCATGGATCTGAGACAAGATAGGGAGACAAACTTTGGAGATTGTACAAGGGATCATGTGAGCATGCATTAGGAAACACCTAACACAATCTAGGAACCAAAAGCATCTTTGGGAAATGATGGTTAAGTGTAACAGTGGAGGAGAATTGTTTGGAATAGGAAGCAACAAAGGGAGATCCCCCTAACATCTGTTACGGTGTCATACTGTGGTGGCTTGCATGTTGCTATGATGCTAGAAGCTATGTCACCAGTATTTCAGATACCAGCCAGGCTACCCATGGTAGACAAGTTTCAGTAGAGCTTTCAGACTAAGACAGGCTAAGAAGAAAAGCCTGGACATTTACTTCTCAAAATTAGCCAATGCCCACAATGGTTCTACAAGTGTATTTGTATGTTCTGTAAGAATTCCCAGGTGTATAGTAGGGCTAACAAGGGACAAGGTTGTAGTTACTTCTTGGTCACACCCAGAAGGAGCGAGTAGTTGAACCTGTGGGCTCAGGATCACAGTCGCAGGGAACATCAAGCTCAATTGGCACAACATGCTACACAAAACATTGTTCCACCTCCCACTTTGGTGAGTAGTGATTGGGATCTTAAAAGCTTGCAAGCATCAACCTAGATGCAACCATGAGTTTCTATTCATCCAGAGCAAAGAAAAATGATGAAAACCAGAGGTTCATGGAAACAATTAGTCCAAGCAACTGGTACACCATGCAATGCACAGCCTATACAACTATGAGACCAGAAGAACTAAATGGTGCCTGGCTACCACTGTCAACCACTTGGAAGGGGATCTACATAGTAGATCCTAGATAGAGTAGCAGAACAATGTGGAACAAAACTCAAAATCATTTGGAAAAAATAAAAGGGGGGGAGGCAGGTTTGCTGGTCTGATAGAGTCTGATGGAATCACT